CGGCAGCCCTGTGGTCGTGTCTCAAAATGGCTGCCGCCTCTCTGCTGGTTCCTGACAGTCAGCTGTTCGGCGTTAGAGTCCGGCTGTTCCCAGGCTACCAAGGGGGAGCTCGGTCTACTCAGTCTTACTACCAGGTAAGTGACTTCGCTGGGAGAGAGGGAGGGTTTGCTGGAAGTGCACCGGGCATATAAGACGACCCCCCCACTTGGAGTCATGTTTTTCAGGGCCAAAACATCGTCTTCTACGCCGGCAAATACGGTATATTATTAGAGGATTTTGAGAACATTGTATACTATGAGAGCAATATTATGATAGTAGCCAATATTGTATACTAAAACACACACATTAATGGTTTAAATGTATATGTATAGATTTTGAAGGGACAACTAAGACATCAAGATGCAAAAAACAAATAATCATAAGCAACTCATGTAACACAATGTTTAACAAGCACGAATTGAATGTAGATAGATTGAAAAACTGATAAATGTTTTTTTTTTTAAAAAAAAACAGTAATAATAGTAATAATAATTTACGTTCAGGAGCTTGATAAACCAACCTTGGTGAAAGGCATTTAACACCTTCTATAGCTTTCTACAGATATGGGCACTTCCAAAAAAGCCTTTTTCCCTTCTGCATGCCAACTGAGAAGTTTTCAAAAAGATGGGCCTTTAACTAGGGCCCCTGAAAAAAAAAACAACGAGGGCAGGCAATCCAGCTAACACAAGTGAGGGCAATCTTCCTTTGTAGCTGGCCACACACCATATGAAACTTGGAAGGTTAAAGCCACCTGCTTAAATTGATTCAATAAAACTTCAAGAGCAAATAAAAAGCCAAATTAGAACAGCTAAGACAACAATTCTCAGGTAAATTGTTTAAATGAAATGATGCATGCTTCTAGCAATATGCAACAATGCAATCTTATAGAGTAGGGGTTGGTATCCCCTACTTATAAGAGGACGGGGTAGGCAGCATTAGAAAAACACAACAATGACAGCTATTAACTACAGCAATAGTCTACTGTGGCACTCTAAGCATTGCAGTAGGAAGGGAACAACTAGGTGGCACATTTTCACCTCATCCTCTTGAATGTCATTAGGCAGATTGTCTACGTCTTGAGCAATACATTGTGGGCTAGAGTGGCTCTTTCTTCTGATTGAGCTACGAGATTCGTCAGTGATGCTCTGAATCTGGGACAGGAAGGTCACCAGGCACAGCCAGCATACAGAAAAAGGATACCATTAATTATATTGGTGCATGAAACATTATCCCACTTAATTAAAACAAGATATGAAACTGAATCTGAAATAGTATTCCTAAAGGCAGTTGAAGGACATTGCAGGCTAAAAATATTTAATACCCTTCCAAATTAAACAATATGTATATATATATTTACTACTCCAAAAGAGGCAGGCTTGTTCTGAAATTCAATTTTTTATCTAGGAATTCAAAAGCTCAAAACTATTCTATTGTTTAGTTATCTTCAGTTAAAGCTCCAGTTAACATGTTGGATGAAAGAAATAATTCCTAGGACAACACTTGATACAAAAACAGGCGTTTTATAACCAATAACACTATCTCTGCTGAAGATAAGATGGAGCAATGTAACAATAAAAGTCATTATGTCACCATGCAGATTTCTGTTCCAAAGCAAAAAATCAGAAAAGATATCTGCTGAACCAATGGTATGCTTTCAACATTACTTAAAGATTTTTTTAAAAAAAGAAGAAGAATGCAGCCAAGCAAAACCGAACTTTAGAATCCACCATACTGTGGAAAGAAATACCGTTAATCTTAAAAATTATTTTTGAATAAAAGCATGCAACAGTCTACATCCATCTTAAGGAAAATAAGGTAGGAAGCAACATTGGTTGTCAGCCTTGACATTTTGATCAGTCTTTGAATTTCCAATATTGAGAGATTGGGACGGAGTCAATAATTTCACTTGTAATACACAGTATGTTAAAAGCCAGGTCTAGCCTTGAAGGAATTTTAGACATGCAAATAATTTACTTCCCACAGCTTTTTGCCCTAGAGAAAATATAGTTGATCAGACTCATTAAATTAAGTAGTAAGACACTGGAAGACAAACTCCAAAGAATAAAGCTCTGTAGTGAGATATTCTAAGCACCACAGTAATTGCATATCATAGTGAAGATGGGAAACACTTAGCTATCCACTCCTGCCTGCACACTGTTCTCTAATCATGCCAAAGGAAGGAGATGATTTTGATGATCAAAACAATATCCTTCTGGATTAGATTTCCAATTAAATAAATGGAGAGTGTGCTGGAAGTAGCAGAGTCTAATGTTGATTCAAGTAATGCTCCTCTCCACTGAATTAATACAAGATACCAGAGAGATGTTCGACAGAAAGTCTCTTTGAAATAAATTTTCCACCTCATTTCAATGGGTTTTGGTCAGGAGAACTTCCTGATGGTGTTTTTATAGTCAAAATTGCTGCCCCAAATCTGCCTTGATAGATGTTGCACCTTGATTCATGACAAAACTGCCTCTGTATATAAGAAACTCCTGAAAACAATACTATTCGTGTTGACTAATACCAATATTTCAATATAGTACATGTTTAGTACCAGTAGTTTAATCTTGATTAAACTATGGGTACTTCATTAAAGTACTGGACCATGAGTTTCCTTTTTTTAAAGGAAAATAAAAATAAAATTACTTACCTCCCGTTCCCTTTCATTCTTAGAGAGTTGCATTTGTTTTAGCATCTGAGATCTCTGCTCCATCATAAGAGTCTTCTCATATGTGAAGGCTGAAATATCATTTTCAAACTAGAAAGATAAATGAGTATTATCTATTATATCTATTATCTATTAGAAAATCCTGATGCTGGGCCATAATGATGCTGCTACATAACACTGATTTTCTGCAGGGAAAAAAACTTGTTAACATGCTAGTTTAAAATGCAGGAGCTACTGGCTTATCATCTTGCCAATTGGTGAAAACTAGATCCCTCGCCCTAGCCCTGTTCAAATATTAGGCACAGAACTAGAGAAGGCGCCAAACCTCTGTCAAAGATTACCCACCTCACAAGGAACACCTTTGTGTCCTCACTGTGACACTGTTCAGAGTCACTTGTATTCATTCGAAGGAGCTTACAGTGTTTCCCTGATTGCAAGCTCTTAAAAGGACCTCCGTATATGTGCATAAAAAGGTTTGCCTTACTTCCAGGTAGAGTGGGAATGGGGGTGGGATGGGGGACTTTCATATGCTTTCACCTATAAACAGAAGTTTAATTCTCCATAATTTCATGCTTAATGCTTGAACAGAACTATTAACAGCAAACCAGCAGAAACGGCATGCTGTTCAACTGAAAATTATGGAGCATATATAATTTTTACTGAATAAATTGTGAAATTTATCTACGGATGTATTTGAGCTGCTACCAGAAGAATCTATCCGAACTCACTTTGAAGGCTGGAATTTACAGACACTGAGAGAGTGAACAGAGGCAGGTGCAAATTATTGGATTTGGGGCTTTAGCTTTAAATACTACTATAAAGTTTTTGTACACAGTACTTCCTATGATTTGGTTATCTCCTGTCTTGATGTTTCAGGAAGCTGCTCTGTGACTTCCTCAAGGGCAGTGAACACAAACTACAAATGTAAGTAAATATATAAATTATACAAGTAAATGTATCTTCTGATATTTTGCACCTTAAATATTAATACAAGTACTTTGTTACAGTGAAAGTCATAAAGCCTCACCATTTCAACAACCTCCACCTCAGCATTCAGTCGAAGATGATACAGAAACATCTGAAGATCCTTCTTCATTTGAATACTATTGTCATCTATCTGAGCCACAGTGAAGATACGCATTTTACATTTTCTCCACACCTGTCATTTTAAAAATTCATTAAAAAAACAGTGAATGCATTTTCTGTAACTTTATACCTCCATCTAATAGGATGTAATCTACAACTGGGAGGCTGATTTCCACTACTCTTTTCTGCTATTCTTGGGTCTGTACAGCATTGCGTACAAAACAGTAATTAAACCCAAGAATGTCCATTTTTCATGAACTTTCAACTGGCCAACATTCAAACAAGCTGGCCAAAAAGGAAGTGAAGATAACATAATGGATGCTTGGAACCTCCACCAACTAGGACTTACCTGCAAGCAGGCAACATCCTTTCCTGGGTGCATTTGTTAAGTCATCCATTAAAATAAGTGGCTTTATGCTTATGGGAGTACTTCTCAGTGACTGAAAATTTAAAGAGCCTCTGTCACACCCTCCAGAAGCTATGGCACATGTAGATCACACACAAGCATGACTGGACTGATGGCAACATATATATTTAGTCTTTTACAAAGATTCACAAAGTTTCCCCGACCCAAAGAACATATAATTCAGATGTTCAGATTTTACAGCAAAGATTCAGAACTAAAATAAGGGAACTATCACACCGCTATTACCTTGTGTTGTCGTAGTAGGAAAGGAAGAAGCATCAGCATGCCACCGTCATGAACAATCCACCACACGTCTATATTACCTTCGCTAAAACGCTCTTGATTAGTTGGAAACAAGTCTATGTTTTTAGCTACTAGAAGAGCTTGTTGGGCAGCTGTTGTTTCTCGTACAGTGTCTGAAAGAAGAAATAAAGTTGTACAAAACCACACAAGTACATTTTTGATGCCTTGAGCATTATGAGGTCTGTTAGACCAAAATGGCCAAAATTCTGCTTGCATAAAGTCACACTGCAGAAGCTGATGAGGTCATCAGCTGGTACCAGTCTCTGGGGGCTTGGGAGGCTGGTGGGGGCCTTTAGAAGTTACAAATCATTGCTGGATTGGCACCACTAGGAACAGAATTGGCAGCAATAATCCTGCAGCATTTTTTTAAAAAAACTTTTAAAGGCTTCCCCCTGTCCCAAGACACCCAGAGGCTTCTCCGGTGTGAAAGGCAGCCCTTGGGAGCCTCAGGAAAAAAAACCCAAGAAACACAAAACAAAAGGAGGATATGAAGCTTTTAATTAGCTAAACGTTACTGGCACTGGCTGAAGAAGTCATCAGCTTCCTCCGCATAAATGTATTTCAACAGGATTTTGCCAGTGTTAGATAAATTATTTCATGGTACGCTGCTCATATATTTGTACCAATTCTATAGCAATACTCACCCACAAAATTTTTCCAAGAGAAAGGATTATCAGCCTGCTTCCAAGACTGAGGCCATGCCATCAGGACGGTATTGTGTTTCATCCCTCCAAGTCCAGCAGATTGTATCAAATGGGAAATTCCATCTCTAACAGTGGATGATACCACAATCTGGCAGAATCCTTTGGTTTTCTCTACTCCCATTAAAGATCTGATGTTCTATAATGGAAAAATAATTACATAGATAAATATTTATAAGCTTCATATTAGCCAGTAAGAGTATCAAATACCAGCATGTTACTATATTGTCTGGAGTCTTAACAGGTCAACTCCTCCACAGGTTCCACTGATTCAAATGGACCTACTCTAATAATTGCAACTTACTTTAGCACAGTAAATTGGCTCACCAAACCCCAATGATTCAATGGGCCAACTTTAGTGTGACTTTCTATGCAAAGCAACAGAATTTTAGCCATTAAATGACAAGCTTCAATTAGAGCAAAGTAAAACATTTGTTAAATGAACATGTTTAAAGGCCTAAAATGAGGAAATGAATTACTGAACTAATTATCACCACTGTCATCAGGAAATTAGATTTACTTCTTGAAAGTAAGGTGCAAATTTGCCAATTTGCAGATAGAAGAAAAAGAGTAAGGGCAGATACAATTAGATGTGAATTCTCCATCTGTGCTCCAGACTAATCAATTACATAAAATTAATACATTTGCATTAACTCCTCCACAGGTATATTAGGTACATCTGATATTAGGTACATCTTTGCAGGCTAAAACTGTTTCCTGGTTTTGATGTTATCTTTGCCTTGTGTGAAATCCATATATTAATTAAAAATGCAAAGTACTTTATAAAAAAAGTCTACCATGTGAATTAAAAGATTCTGGTTGAAATTCTATTGCACAGCTCCACATATGCCACAAGGATGACAGTAACAATGGTTCTTGGATGCACATGACTTTGTTGCCTTGTGTATGAGTTATATGCACCCCAAAATAGTCTTTAATCAGTGATGATTTGCTGCAGTTTATGACATCATCCCCACTGTACACATGGACTTTAGCCTCTGATTCTCAACACAGAGCATGTTTATACTGAAGATTCCAGAACACTGGTTCAGGTTCACAATTTCAATACTGCATGTAGCCACACTCCACTATGATATTCTTTAAGGAAAGCCATATTTAAAATGCAAGTGAGCCGTGCAACTGCATTCAGAAATTTAGTGGGACTTTACAAGAGAACATAAACTGGATTATCACAGTGTGTTCTATGTTAGAAAACTGTTCAGAAATTTCAGCTAGTCCAAAATTATTGAAGCCAGACTGACTGGGGACAGTAACAGGAAGCATATAGTTCTCTTATTACAATAGCTTCACTGGCTGCTGGTCCGTTTTTAGACCCAGTCCAAAAGCACTAATTATGACCCATAAGACTCTATGCAGCATGGGTCCAGACTATTTGAAATATCATATTTCCCTACATGATTAGCACCCACACATCCCACTTCAAAGAGGTTCATGGAGGCCCTTTTCTTGATCCTGCCAGCCTCATAGGAACAAGTGGTGAGGATGCAAGAGAGCACCTTTTCAGTAGCCATTTCCAGGTCATGGAATGCCCTACTCTCAGGTAGACAGGCTAGTTCCCTCCCTGATGAGATTCAGCCAGCAAGCAAAGTGGGCAATGGAGTTTTTTGTAGGATGTTATGTATTTTTACTGCTTTGTGCATGTATGCATGTATTTTTAAATTTTAAATCAACATTTTTAGTAGTCTTTCAGTACTGTTATAATATTCCATAGGGTCCCTCCCAGCTCTGCATTTCTACAATGATGATGTTTAACTGTTTTTTGTTTTTTTTACTATTACACTGTATTGGTCAGAATTATATTATACACTTAAATCAGATTACCTCCAACAGGATAAATGTCAGTGGTACAGTGCCACCAGTTAAGAAGTCAATGCTTGTTTTTTTTCTCCATGCACACCAAAGTCATGGGACTGCTGTGTGACAAGAAAAACAAGGGCTGCCTTCGTAAGTGGTAGCAACTCTTTACTCAAAATTATGAGGCTGTAATTAAGCCACACAATCTAAGTATCAAGATTAGACATAGGAACAAACATAAAAATTAATCAGGATATTTGTTAAATATCCCTGATTCACCAAATATCCGTTGCTTCGTATTCTTGGGGTCCAGAAGTGATTCATTGTTTGTCGGGTCAGGGGGCAATTTGTGGTTCGTCAAGTTTGACAACCTACGAACCAAGACGAAATGCCATTTTGGCACTTTGTCCCCATGTCTAATCAGAGGTCTATGTTTAATTTTCAATCATTTGTGAGATATGGCGCACTATACTGGGAGAAAGCAGCACAGAAATGAAGTGAATAATTGTAACCCCCTTATCAGATTGAAAGAAGAGTAAACATATAAATGTTCTCCCCATTTTCATGATTAGCCTCAGAAACAGCAAAGTGCTTTGCTGCTTCCTTTCTTTTTCCAGGTCAGGGAGATTGCTCCTCCCTCTTCCACAGGTCCAGAAAAGAGCACAGAATCACCCTGAGAAATATTATGCTATTAGAAGCAATATCACCCTTCAAACTCCTATTGCCTTCTTGTAGTAGTAACAAAATTTCAAAATGGAATTTACCGTAAATTTTAGAACACAAAGCATTTGCTGCATTTGGTTTCTAAATAATCAAACTGTGATTAAAAATTCATCTCAGCAACCATTTATGAACTGCTGAGCCATCTCCTTCCTGTTGGAATTTTTCCAAGCACATCTCTGAGATTCACTGTCTTGTTAAATATTAAGAAGGTGCTACATTTAAGTGAACAGTGGCTTTACTGAGGCTAAAAATAAAACATTTTGCTCCAAGCACTGTGCCACCTATTATCTCATATGCATTCTAATTGCATATTACAGAACAGAACTATTTTAAGCCTTCCTGCATATAGTTAATTTAAAAAAACAGAATGATGATTTTTGGTGGTTAGTTTAATCCATGGAGGTGGGGAAGGCTGGCTATCCACATATTGCCATTGTTTTAAAAAGCGTATTGTGAAAAACAATGCCTTTAAAACAATCCAAGCCATTTAATGCTCACTGTGTTTTATGTAAGAGTCTGAAACATGTTCAACATTCTGTCTAAAACAATCATTACACAAAAACTATAGACAAAACATGGCTGAATTTTCTTCACTGAATGTACAAAATTAATTTAAAATATGATCACTCTTCCTTAGCTCTTGATCACACCCCTGATGTGTTATAACAAATGGCCAATTTAATCTTTTACACAAAGAGGCAAATCAAGGTGGGAAATGAAGGAACAAATTTACTTGGACTTAGGTAGTTACTGTACCTAAGGGAGATATCAAGAGATAAATATTAAGGGAAGTAACAACCATGAAAAATGTATACTGCTGAGCATCAAAACAATCAATATGATAGATAGGCCATAGGGCCTCAACAGCTTTCTCTGTATTGTACTGTCCAGATGTTGCTGGCTGGTTTATTCTCATCTGATGGTGGATCTCAGCAAACACAAGCATCCTAATCACTGTGTGTTCTGATTCATGGCTCTGGTTTCACAAACAGCCCATGCAGCCTTCAGAAAGGAAAGTGACTACAAAGGAGGACTAGGCAAGCTTCTAAGGATGGAGTAATGGGCCCCCATTACCAGCTGTTTGATTGTTTTCTCAGAAATTGTATCCAGAAAGTGTATCCATCTGAAACCAAGAAATTAACCTAATGGTACATAATTGGTCTTTCTGCTCACTGTGGACAGAGAACATAATCTGAGCTATATAGAGAAGACAGAAGCTGGCTCTAGGCCAATTTCATAATTGAAACCCCACCCATGGGATACTATGCAGAAGGAAACGGGGAGGTGATTTTTTTTGCTAGCTCTGGTTTCCTCCAAACTTGAAAAGAGATATGGAGGGAATCCTTTCACTTACTGAACAAGTCCACTTCCAAACCACTTCTCTACCATGTATAGGTTTTAGTACTTATAGGGAGATCACAAGAAGACTAGAAATAATACATTATTTTCTATTTTAAATACTGTTAATTAAACACATTCTAAAGGCCCTCCCTGAATCACACACACAGACACACACTCAGAAATACACTCTCATTTTTGTCCTGGTAAAGAAGCTTAGAAACAGTGAGAAAAGTGTGGCCAAAATTACATCCCTAAGTGATGCTTATGAAATTCTACTCATCTAAATTTCATTCCAGGATGGAGTGCTTCCAGACTGACTCTTGCTCGAGGAGTAAATACCAATGTATTGCAATATCACTCCTTCTCTGTAAGTTTGTTTTGTTGACTTTCTTCAGACAGTTGAGTATATATAATTTAAACTTTTATATTTCCAGATCTGTACCAATGTAAGTGATTTAAGTTATAATGCAAAATGAATCTTGATGTGATTGCCTAAGGATTAATGTGCAGTGCACTCAATAACTTGAAACACAAACAATTCTGAAGTACAAGGCATGTTATCAACGTTTCCTCTAAGCTGCGTGGCTGCACAGGTGCGCAGCACTGCCCCTCCAATGTGCAGCATTCCTCCTCCTCCACACACCCACAACAAGTATTTCCAGCCCCTTTGGTTCTGGTTGCATCCAGAACCCCATGCAGGGGAGGGGAGCGAAGCTGCACATGCAGAGTGGCATGGTGGGCCCCACCCAGCAGGGCTGAAAATTAGAGGGAAAGTTGCATGTTATCTATTCCAAAATCAATTTGAGATATTCACCACATTAAACTAGAAGACAGCAAAACAGAATGTGTGAAAAACATATGATTAGAAAGGGCTATATCTTTGTTTTTCCTTCCAGAATTTAGAGAAAACCTTGCTTAGATTTGCCCACAGGTATATACTATCAATTAAAGTCAACATTTGCCCTGTTAATAGCTAGAGTAGGGTTTGGTTATTGTGAAAGGACAGTAATGTCAAGTTATTTAGATTATTGCTGCAGCATTTTTACTGCCAGCTACGGTGAGAAACATATGTGGGACTTCCCACCTCACATGCAAAAATAACGTGTCTGATTCTGCACACAATACACTTGGAAAGGAGAAGGCATTGCTATTTGCTGTTGTTTTGCAGGCAGTACAATGTCTTGCAACAGTCCTGACTAAAATACAGACATAGTTGACAGCAGTACAATACTTTCACTGCCAGTTGCTTGTCACCAATCA